TTATTGGCTCCTCAACATAGCTTCATTTGGGTAGCTCTTGGCTCCCTAATGGTTTGGGAGTTCTCTTGTTACATTCCACCATAGATTGGGAGTTGATTGGTTCACTCCACATTTCATTGTGGTTGCATGCCTATTTATAGGCATTCTTTGCCTACATCACCAAGTATGTGGCTTTTACTAGAAACTTCTATATTTTACAATATTTATTTTTGTGGCTATTGTTTAGCCATCATGCAACATGAGTGTTCTTGGTTTTTCTAGAATATTCTTTCAACTTCAACTCTCTTTACTCAACAAGTGTGGCTTTCTAGAATAATCTTCATAGTTGCATGTAGTTGCTGACTTCCCACCAAGCTTCTAGAATAGTTTAGGCTCTTCCACAAATCTTCTAGATTTCTCCACACATTTCTTTAGCACAAATGTGCATTAATTTCAACACATCTCTATATTCTGGTCTGAGGGCGTTGAAGAAGAGATCAAGGCAGGGGTCACCGTAGGAGGAGGATGGAATACAAGGCCAGATGTTGTTGTCGTTGTTGGCCGTGTCAGCGTTGGCGTTGGAAGTAGCCATTAATCTCCTTCTTCTTTGGATTGGGATTGGGATTGAAATTGGTGTGGTTGCAGCTACTACTAGTTTTGGTGGTGGTGAAGAAATGAAAATATTGCCGACGACGACGACATTGACAAGGCATCCTGCTGCTGATCCTGCTGGTGCTTTGTTCGGATTTGGAACAACCCTTGCACTCGTCAAGCACGCTTGCCCCGGCACCATTGGTTTATGCATCTCAATCATCATTTCAACTTTCAAATTGAACAGTTGTTGCTGCTCTCTCTCTGCTTGAGCCTTGAGTGTTTGATTTTTAGGGTTGGTTTTTTCTTTTGTTGGAGACGATAAGCCTCGGAACCAAATCACCCACTTTTGGGCTTGTTTCTCAATATAAAAGTCCATGTGTAAAAGTTGTAGCTGCTACCAATCGGGTCTGATGGGTGGACGTTGGGTTGGTTTTTGACAATAGGCATATGGGGTTTTAATATTTTCCCTTCAGGACCACAATCGGCGAATTCATATGGGCCTACGGCTGCCAATTATTGTCCACTTGATATGGAGAAAAAAGGAGGGGCCCAATGGGAGGAAAAAAACTTACTTGTAAAGAGAATAAAATATAATTGTTTTGCTATTTTCGGCCAATAACATAATGATACGTGGAAAAATTATCCTAAAAGTCGTTGTGTTATTGGTCAGGCATAGCAAAAAGTGTTATTCCCGTTGCACAAGAGTTTCTCTTCGATGGAAGGGGCCTTTTGAATTGATTGATGGGCAATTGAGCCTTCCACCATACCATCCAATATAATTTAATCAATTCAAGACAAGATGCTATTTGTCCACCTTTCTTTCACTCCATGCACTGCTTTTCATATCAAATAATTTGAGTTTGTTCATCTCATTAAGCTGATATGTGGACCCTAATTTGTTTTAAGATCTCATTATTGATGAAAAAAACAGCATAAAGCAGAAAACAAAAGAAGGGGGGGACTTCACTTTATTTGATACTTGTTCACAAATCTTTTGCTAAATATGGATTGGTTTTTGGACCTCTAGACTACACGCAAAATGGAGCTATTCTTTTTGTTTTAAAAGGAAATGCTTCACCATATATACATGGTGATGGTGGTGGTGGTGTGTGAAAGTACTGAGAGCTAATAGCTGATGAAGCTACCAAGCACAACTTTTTTTCACCTAGCTAGCTTGATGTGGGATTTTACTTTTCTTGGCAAGCTTAGGATACTTTGGTGAGAAAAGCCACATTTCTTGTTTTCTATTACAAACAAAGGAAGAAGATCGAGTTTCTTGTCTAAATGTGGTTAAAATATGTCTCAACCTGTGTATTGTGGACTACAAAAACATATATATATATATATATATATAGATCTTTGCTTTTCATAAAGTCGTAAGAAAAATATGTAAGGTGTAAATCCCACTAAATCATTTCCAACTATAGTCACATCAAAATTTAAAATAAAAAATACATCCACCCACAAAGGAGGAAGAAGAAGAAAAGGATAAAAAAATATTAGTAGGCTAGTAACGACAAAAATCTTAAGTTTAGTGTACATATGCTTCCATTTTTTTTTTTTGGTGAACAAAATGGTGGCAAGTGTGCAACCACTCCGAGCCGGGGAGGGGTTAAGGTTAAAGCTCTCCCCCTGAGGTTCTTTTACACATGCGGATCATCGAACGCAGGACCTCACTGAGGAGCCTGCTCACATTCGGCCAAACATGGTGGACCCAGCCCCAACCACTGGACCAAACCCCATGGGTTTAGTGTACATATGCTTCCATTTTTGTTATTAAAAAAAAGTGTCCTTCCATTGCTCGATCATAGCATCATCAAATTTTTCGTACAAACTTTATTGTTACCTCAAACGTTAAATCCTAAATCTTCTTATCCAAAGTCAAATTTTGAACACAAAACTTAAGAATTATATATACTCGAGATTTGAAACTCCGAACTGTAAATTTTGAAAATCGATTTCATTCTTTCCTTGATTCTGTTCATCTCATTTCATTAATCTATCCAGGCCACCAAACATTATCTAATTAAGAGGTCAATGTCTAAATCATTTCAAAACAACCCTTGCAAAGTAGTGATATCAAATCTTTCAAAGTTTCAAGCAAGGCATTATATATGTGTTTGTACATGTGAATGTGGGTCATGTTCATATAAGACCCAATAACCAACGGATTACTTAAAGCCAAAACATATCTGTACAATATTAAGAGTGCTGTGAAAGCCAAAGCCAGCAGATAGCTGAATGCCACCAACTTAGCTCCATATTACCCTACAAATAATTACACCAACTTCTTCACAGGCCTACAATGACCAAATTCTTCACAGGCCTACAATGATTATATTGCAAAAATAGAAGTTTGTAGTTGACTTACTTCAACGTACACAAACCAACTCCTTCATTTCCTCTAAATTTGTTTTAAGCGCGTATGTTTTTTTTCACCAAATGATGGAAAGTATTTGAATTTAATAATTTAATTGAGTAGTCAAATGATATCGAATTCAAGTGATTTTTTGTAGAGATGATCTTTGAATGAATATCTACAAAATAGACGGTTTGAATTAATAAAATACAATGTGTTATTGGCCCTACAAAAATGTCCTTCAAATAAACTTATTTGAACATCTCTCAATAAAAAAACTCTTATATATATATATATATATA